TTTAAAACAAATAAAAGTGAGTTTTGGTGACACTTAAAAGTTTATCAAAATTTGGGGTATTACACCATCACCATTTGAGATAAACCCAGCATTAACACAATTTGTTGATGAAGAAGTTGACTGTAAAAATGGATCAGACGTCTCACTAAGAGCACTGGAAAGAATTTTTCTAGAAACAAAGTTCCCACCAATTTCGTCTTTCTCAGAGTTTATTAAAAGAAGAAATGCCAAGGAAAAGAAATTGACTATTTCTAAAAGTCAATGTTAGAATGTGAGTTTGTGATTGTGGCTCTAACTTATGGGCATCTTGGTTATTACTTGTACCAGATTATAGTCTTGTGCGTATAAATGGCCTTGCCATTTGTTTTCTTATTACCATTTTGGGAAAGATATATGCTCTACAACAACCCAAAATTTTAGAACTCAAAACCTCTCTTACAATGGATAAAATGTCAAAATCGTGTCGTTTTTGCGGTAAATGGTAAGTTTATTAGTGAATGACAATTGTACTATTGCATCCCTAGAAATTATTACCGTTGTATTCATGTTTCTTCCATTTATAGGGCTTTGATTTTTAATAAAATACATAAAAGTCTATTGACACTTATCCTCTCTTCTCTTTTTTCTCTTTTCATAACACGTTATCAGCATGATAGTTTAATTTTTCAAAGTTTAGTGAATTTAGTAATTTTCAATAAGCATAAATATTTATCATGTATACCAAAATTAATTTAATGACATATGAATTTTTCTACATACATATACATCAAAACGAGACTACTTCTTCTTCTATACTTTTTTTGCTTGTATGCAAATCTATAATGATTATTTCATTATATGCATAATGATTACTTTATCATATTTGCATATTTATACATGAAGTCAATTCACGTGCATGTTTGGAAGATTATTTTATTTATACATTTTTTGTAACTAATTTTTCTATGTAAATTTATATCATGACTATATGATAATTAAATATTTTTAGATGCTCGTCTATAAACTTTAAATTAATAATTTATCATGTTGTTGCTCTTGAAATAACACAACATTATAATTAATATTTCAGAAGAATATTATACTTACTGCTCTTGAAAAGCGTAATATTATTTTCAATATTCCAAAAGAATAGTGATTTATTGCTTTTGAAGAAGCAATAATAAAATATAACGTACTCTTGAAATAGCACATATCCCGAATAATATATATCTCATTATGTTCCTGAAGAAACACAAATTAAACAACTCAATACTAGGTTATAATTTTTTTTGAGAAAACAATAACTAATTTTCTATATTAATAATATTTAAGAAGAATATTAATTCATTGCTCTTGAACAGCATGAATTATAATTTTCAATATTTCAGAAGAATATTGACATATTGCTTTTGAAAATCAAAATTAAAGATAATGTGCTCTCGAAGTAGCACATTTTCAAAGAATATATCATTTTGAATTCATATTTATCGCTGAAGGAAAGCGTGTAACTAATTTCATGAGAACATTGATTAGTTTAACTATTTGAATGATATATGATTATATAATTTTTAATCATATTCTTCGAAATTAAATCATCAAATTATATTCTATATTGAACTAGAAGTTCAATTTGACTTTATCGTTTGACATAACCAATTGGATTATCACTAAATTAATAATGATGCGAAATTAAAAATTCAAATAAATATTCAATAAAGAACCGGAAGATTTTTCAATTCAATCCTATATGATATTGTTGTTTTTCATGAAAAATTTTCATTAAACATCACTAGGTAAAATAGGGACTGGATTTTCTACACTTCTGAAAATTAATTAGGGTGATAAATAGGGCCCTATCATCCTCCATGGTTATCATTTAAATATTATTTGTATCTAATAGATTTGATACATATATTAGATGATCACATGATGTTTGTGAAATTATTTCTCAAATTTTAAATAATGAACATAATTTTTAGATTATGCCCTTGTTTGAGCCCCATTTTTGTGAGGAAAATGAATTTTTGAATAATGTATTGAGGGGAAATGTGTGGTTAAAAAATAAGAAAAAGTTTTTGATTTGCGTATAATATTATTTTATTGAAAAATTTGTGGTTGAAATGATGACAAATCACTATTGAAAAATGTATTTTGGTTGAAAAATGGGGCTCAAACAAGGGCTATATAATCAAGACTGTGTCTTGTTAATACTAATGGGTACAAATCTCATCATTTTAATAAATGTTAATTGGGATGTCAATAAATGATTTAACATTATTGTTTGTTAAATGCTTTCAATTAATTTAATTGAGAATAGAATATTTCTCATTTTTATTCAGGAAATTCTATTGTGCATCATGCCAAAATCATAGTTCTCCCTATTATAATTATCTTATGATCAGAGCCTAATTTTTCATCTAATTATTTTGATATTGTAGCATGTGTAAAATTGATTCACCACAATATATTGAGATGAAAAATAAAGAATGCTGAGAATAAATATATAGTTTGAACCCATAGCCCAAAATAGCGATACTTTATAATGCTAGAAAAATTATAGTTAATTTGATTTGACAATTATTCCAGCATTAGGGAGATAAATTAAAAAGTTAAAAATAATGTATAAATGCATCATCATCTAAATTCTCGCAAAATATCATTCAAATTAGAAGTTCGAAATATAATTTATTTATATGCATTTACTAATCAAAGAGATAAATAATATTTCACACATCAGTTTTAAATGCTCTAACACAAATTAATGTTCTATGAAGATAATTTGTTAGCATTATATTTAATATATCTATTACACATCTGAAACGTGATGGTGTTCGATTCTAATACAAAAAATCTTCAAACGAAAATGGAACAGTTAGCAAAGATTGTCTCATTAAGGAAGCATATACTTTTGATGAGTATTTGACATAACAAATTATAAAACCTCAGAAAATATTCAGGTATCTAAAATAATGAAATTTGAAATATCTCAATAAGTTATGTCATTATGGAAAAAGAAATAGAATCGAAAAAAATTGTGGACAACAATTTGCACATGATATACTACATCATATAACGAGAAATCAAAATAAATGCTTCAAAATATATTGATCGAAGTAATAATTAATCAAATAAAATGAACGCATGCGGTAATCGTTTTAGCGTATATTTATTGAATGAATGTTATAAAAATAACGATATCTACCCCCAGCGTTTTCATAAAGAAAATAAATATTAGATCTGCAATTGTGGTAGATTATGTTGATGATTTAAATATAATTGAAACTCCCAAAGAGTTCAACAAAACTACTGATTATTGAAAAATGAATTTGAGATAAAAGATTTGGAAAAAAATCAAATTTTGTTTTGAGTTACAGATTGAACACTTACCAGAATAATTAATTGTTCGGCAATCTATATATACAGAAAAAGTCTTAAAACGTTTTTATATGAATAAAGTACATTAATTGACATCACTTATGGTTGTTCAATAACTTGATGTGAAAAAAATCTATTTCTTCTACTCGAAAATGGAGAAAAGATTATTAGTCCTAAAGTACCACATTTTGTTGCAATTGGAGCATTAACTTATCTTGCAAATTGAACTCAACCTGACATAGTTTTTTTTTCTATAAATCTCCTTATAAGATATAACTCTACACTTACTCACAGATATTGTAATGGTGTTAAACATATTTTTCATTATGTAAAGGGTACTATTTATTTGGGATTATTTTATGGAAAAATTGCAATAGCGGTCCTCAACCTTTTCAATTTTTGCAGACTTTACTTTAACTTTCATTTTGTGCCAACGAAAATCCTTAATCTTTTAAAAATATGCAGTATATGTCCAACTGGATGGAAACCGTCCATTTAACTGTTAGTTAACTAAAGAATTGACATTGACCACAATTTTGACTAACTTTATTCAACAAAGTCCTATTCATTTTTTCTGCAATATCATTTAGTTGGGGTGTATGTGTTATAGTTCTATGTATTAAAATGCTATGCAATTTGCAAAAGTCATTAAACTCTTAATAGCAAAATTCTAGCCCATTGTCTGTTCTTAAAGCTTTAATTTTCAAATCAATTTGATTTTCAATTTGTGTTTTTCAATCTTTAAATATAGTAAATGTTTCATCTTTTGTTTTCAATAGAAAAACCCAAATTTTCCTTGAAAAATTATCAATAATCAACACTTAATACTTATAACCAGACAAATTAGTACGTAAATATTCTAGAATTTGCTTAGATTTATGAGTGCTAGTGGAAAAAAGGTAACTTAAATTGTTTTTCCAATCAAACATTGTTCATAATTAGACAATTCACCAATATTTGATATTCCAAAAACACCTTTATTTTGAAAAGCTTTTAAACCTTTCAACCCAATGTGACCAAGTCTACAATGCCATAATTTTGCAAAATTAAATTCATCATCTAAAACTGCTGCCGATAAACCCAATAAAGGTTTCGCATTTATAAAGTATAAATCATGTCTCATTGGGATAAAAGTGATTAAATAACTACCCCTAAAATTTTTTATCTGTCATTGACCTAATTTTATATCAAACTCCATATCATCCAACATTCCTAGAGACCCAAGGTTTTTTTCTAATTCAAGAACAAATATGGCACCCTTTAAAAGTAGAATTCGGCCATTTTCCAAAATCAATTTTATTATTCCAATGCCTCTTACTTTATAGGTCATATTATTTTCCATGATAACTTGGGCTTCTTTAGTTTGTTCAAAATCCAAGAAAAAATTGTTTTTCTTAGGGCACATGTTAAAAGAGCAACCTGAGTCAATAATCCATTCTTAACAATTATCAAAGCGTTGCTTATTATAGGACGTAATAGCATTATCCTTAATTGTTTTCTTTCTTTTCAAATCATTTTACTTTTTGTAACAATCTTTAACAAAATGACCCAACCCACCATAATAATAACATTTCTTTCCCTTGGCTTTAGTCTTGAATTTCATTTTATCATTATTTCTCTTTCTAGGGTCATTAGGAAATTTTGAATGAAAATTAGATTTTTCTATTTTGATTGTTGATATAATCTGATTTTATCAACATACCAACATCCTTTAAAATCATTACTATTTCAGAATTCATTTTTTTTTTTTTTATAGAAAACACATTTTAATTCAGCCCAAACAAGTGCTATCCATTTTTCTCTTATTATTGTACTCATCCTTAGTGTTAATTTCCGGACACGAGACGATCAAAAAAGAAAAATTTCCGGCGAAAAAGAAAAGGGAAAATTGTTGAAGATGAAAAAAGCTTAAGATCAAGAAAAGCATCAAAACAAAATTTTACTCAACAAACCTACAAATAAATTCCATTATCCTGTATGCTCATCCGTGAACCCTAACTTCTCATTTCTCTCAACCCGTTGATCAATTAAAATTCCTCACTATGCGTGCCAAAATCGAGATTATTCCGGTTCTGGAAGAATTTTCATTTTCTTAACTAGGGTTTCTTTATTCTAGACTTGATTTTGATTAGCTTGATTTTCGAATTAGGTTTTGGAAATTTCTGTTGCTGTTAATGATATTGATACGAGAGATATTCAAGTGAATTATCGGGAAAAAATGAGGCAGTTAAATGGATTTTATAGTAAAAGAAGTCCCCATCTTCGTGGGATTTTCAATGGGTTATGTGCCCTAGTTTTGATTTTCTTGTTTTACAATCGGGAAGATATTGTGAGAAACCCACTTGCAAAGCACTCGGATTCAGTATCAGCTAGAGGGCTTTATTCCGATTTGCGGAACAAATTCCTGAACCGTAGAGAAATGGCTGAATTAAGTGCAAATTCTTCAATTGTGAATGGCTCCGATCCTAATAATTTGGATGTAAAGAAGGCTGAATTTTGTGCGGGGTTGTCTGATCACAATGGCTATGGTAGTAGCTGTGAGTTCCTGAGAGCCCATCCGCAGTGCTCGTCAGATGGGTTTTTTGATTACTTGAAGTTTTATTATTGTGATTGCGTTGAGAGTGCATGGGCATTTTTGGTGTTGGGGGCTTGGCTTGCTGCATTGTTCTATCTTTTAGGCAACACCGCGGCAGATTACTTTTGCTGTTCTTTGGAAAAGCTTTCAACTCTTCTGAAGCTATCTCCCACTGTGGCCGGTGTAACTCTGCTTCCACTTGGAAATGGTGCTCCAGATGTGTTTGCGAGTATTGCTGCTTTTTTGGGTACTGGCACGGGAGAGGTGGGCCTTAATAGTGTTTTAGGAGGGGCAGTGTTTGTTACTTGCATTGTTGTTGGGGCTGTTTCCCTTTGTATAGCAGATCAGGATATTCAGATTGACAAGAAGTGCTTTATAAGGGATACTGTATTTTTTATGTTTGCCGTTGTGGCTCTTTTTTGGATCTTGATTGTCGGTGAAGTGACTGTCGGCGCTGCCATTGCATTTGTATCGATTTATATTCTGTATGCCTTTGCAGTGGCTGCCAATGAGATTTTGAGGGAACAAGTGCAGAGGTTGAAACTGGACGCTGTTACTCCTTTGCTTCCTGTAAGAGGAAGTGTATTTTCTCATGGAAATCTAGAGGATGAACCCATCTCCAGCTCGTTGCTTGACATTGAGACTGAAAGTGTTGGTGCCCAGTCCCATAGTTCCCTGCCTCAGTGGATGTGGGCTTCTAATGTTGCAATATATTCAAACCAGGTGCTGAAGATCCCTGATGGTGACAAGTCTTTGTGGGGATGGAATGATGAAGACAGAGAAATTGAACGGCCGTCATTTTCCTGTTCGAAGTTATTTTCCCTTCTGGAGTTGCCTCTGACTGTACCAAGGCGGCTCACAATTCCCCTAGTGGAGGAGGAAACTTGGTCTAAGCCATATGCTATGGGAAGTGCTCTATTGGCTCCAATTCTTCTTGCTTACCTGTGGAGTTCACAAGATGGTGTGGGTTCTCAAAGTAGAATAGTTGCGTACTTCATCGGGGTTTCAGTTGGATGCACGCTTTGTATTCTTACTTATAAGCGCACAAGTCCAGAGCGTCCACCTCAAAAGTTTTTACTTCCATGGGTTTTAGGAGGATTTGTGATGAGTATCGTTTGGTTTTACATGATTGCAAATGAGCTTGTTGCTCTACTTGTTGGATTTGGTGTGGTTCTAGGTGTCAATCCTTCGATCCTTGGGTTAACTGTATTGGCTTGGGGCAACTCGATGGGTGATTTGGTTTCAAACGTTGCTTTGTCACTGAATGGTGGGGATGGCGTACAGATTGCAATGTCCGGATGTTATGCAGGTCCTATTTTCAACACGCTTATTGGATTGGGCATCTCAATGCTGCTGGGAGCCTGGTCTGAGAAACCTGTTCCCTTTGTGCTCCCAAGTGATAGAAGCTTGTATTTCACCTTGGGATTTCTCATTTTAGGAATTATTTGGGCACTCATTGTTTTACCCAGAAATAACATGCGTCCAAGCAGGATGCTTGGCGCAGGCCTAGTTGCCATATATTTGATATTTCTCTCTTTCAGCGTGGGCTCTGCTATGGGAATGTTTCCATTCGCTGGTCTTAGCTGATATCATGTACTGTTAGAATGTAAATTCGAAGATTACTTGACCCACGAAAATTGAAATAGTCTAGATTGCTATGCCTGTATTTATTTAAGAATAATCTAGGAGACATTCTTCTGGTGGTCATATAAGAGCTATTTGTATTTATATACATTGTTGTGTTTGGAGAAGACAGGTCATATGGACAAGTGATATTATGGGTGCATTACCTAGCTTGTTGTTCTTATAGATTTAAACAGAGTTTTCTATTCATTGTTTTTATCTAATATTTTAATTCACAGTCAACATGCGTGATTTGTTCTATGCCATACAATCTTATCATGTTATTTCTTTTTATGTGGGTTTGTCAGGGTAATGTTTATGATTTATGCGTGCAACAGTGAAGTATTATGACATGATGCTAATACTGGCGTGTCGGTTTCTTTAGACCTTTGTGTCATGTACTATTGGATTTTATATGTGGCTAATTCTGGCTTGTCAATTTTAATGGTGGTGTATGATGTTTGAATTCATTTTTGCACAAACTTTTGTCTGTCCCCTCATATTGCAACTAATGCTTCCTCACGTTTTAGTTAATCATTTTCATCGATCGTGACTGCTGCAAATCCTGTAGATCATAAATTGTTGGATATGAATAGAAATATCATGTCATTAATGGGAAGTTTCTCTTCTTAGTTTTGATGTGTGGCATCTTATTGAGTTTTCAATTCGTTGACTAGCTAGTCAGAGCTGTGCAGGAAATTGCCATTTTTCCATCTGTGTGGCTGTATTCACATTTGCAGGAACTGCAGGATTTTGTGGCGACCTCTGATGTTCAGGATTCTGAGTGAAGATGTGACTTTTTTAGGTTATATATTTTGGAGTCTAAAGTGATTGGAATCCTTTAACTTAGTAAGTTTTCCCTTCAAATGTGCTTGTTGAAGACAAGATTTAAATGATATACATGAGCCACTCTCTAACAGCTTAAGGTCTTACATGAAGTGGTTCAATATGATTTCATAGAGCATAAATCTCACCATCACCCACTTATTGAAATTGTATGTGTTACGCTTTGATGGGGAAAAAATGGAGTGTGTTGAAGATTAGATTTAAATGATACATATGTGCTCATTCATATGTACCATATATTCATTGAAGGTCAAAGCCCTATATTTTTGTATATGGAGCCACTAAATCGTCACCAATTTATAGAGAAAACTGTGGACATTTTTGTTTATTGTAATCTTCTCCCTGTATCGCTGTCTTGGATTTTACTGATTCCAATTTTGTCAAAGTTTGCTGACCACTGATGATCTGGTTATTCATTTTTATCTAGTCTTACATACATGTAGCTACTTCATTAACACTATTGTTTCCAATCTTCTTCTGTTCATTGGGACGATTAAAGTTAAAGCATCTATGGACCCTGAATGAGTTTTTGGTGATAAAACTGATATCACATAAGGAATCTTCTTTGCAATACAAATTTCAATTTGGCACTTGTGAGCATTGTATGTTAGAGAACAATTTCCTTTCTCGACTTGATGAATATTAAGTTTTCATAACGATGATGTCCTTCTTGTTGCATTCATTGTTATCGATGTTATGGTATTCCGCTAGTAAATTCTACTACATTAGGTCTCAAATTTAGTCCAAACTAGTATTTGGAAAGTTAATAAAAATCCATGCACTGAATAAATGCCTTTTGACATGCCTCTGCTGCTATGCATTTCTCTATACCTTCTTAATTTTATGCATGTAATGCTTTCACTGACCTATCTGGCATTGGAGAAGAAAGATCTTCGTTCTATTTCTGGGGTTAGACATCAAAATACTTGTTTTATGCATATGCTAAGAGTATTTTTAGCGAGGAGATGATTTTGCATATGATAAAAGCACCTTCCACTGATCAGCATATGGGAAAATTTATCAAATCAATGTTTTACTTTTAATACCTTCTCCTGCTCATGTTACTTCCTTCTATCTGACTCTAGTTGTCCTATGGTATCTCTACTGTATGGCTATATGACTCAAAAAACCACTGAATATAGAAAGACTATTCCATTCCTAGTCCAATGGTGAATTGAAATTGTTTGCTGTTGCCTTGTGTGTGGTGGGGGGCCAGGAAGAGGACTTATCTGCGCCAAGATATTTGGTTGGCAACACTTGTCTCAGTAATGAGTCAAATTGAGAGAATACATTTTGGTTCCTTCATAGAATTGATTCTGTTGTTTTTATAATGCTTTTAGCGTAAACCTTCTCTTGCTTGATTTCGAAGGGAACCCTGGAATATCATGTATGCATATGTCTGGAGAAACCTTTAACCTGTCCATAACTTGTGTTAAACGTTCAACTATATTTCATAACTTTGAGATCTATAGTTTTATGTTGTTTTTAGGATTTGCCTTTTGGCCGTCTTCCTACTGAAATCTTGAATCTGCTATCTTGGGACTATAGTACTGAGCAGGGAGAAGTTCGGCTAAAAACTGTCATTGATTTGCTATCTTGTTCCGGTTGTCAAAGAAGTGCAATGTGCTGACTGCTGAGTTTGTTGTTCGTGATGGATGGGTCTTTGCTGCTAGTACAACCGTTTCTTGAGGAGAATTCGTGTCCAAAATGTTCAAGTGGAAGCTTCTTTGGGTATGTAAACAATTGTTTTATAATCATTGTTTCATAAAGGTCGTAACATACCCTTTTAGACCTTTTATCCAAATATTGTTCCTCGTACTAAGATTAAGGCCCCGTTTGATTCTTATTTTCATCAAAATACATTTTTCTCTATCTTCCAAGAAAAATCCACTTCCCTTTCTCGGGGCTATTGTGCATTGACATAATGTTATTTATCGCCATACTAGTTTAGGTGATATTCAAGTGTTATTTATTGAAAAGTCTTGATTCTTTATTAAGGCATGTTGGATCACAAGCCTCGGGCTGAAAATTTGCACATGACAAAACTCAAAACTTGTAATTTTACACTTCCATTACATACCTTGTTTAATTAGTAAACAAACAAAATTGTCAGCTACACGTTAACAATTTTTGCTTCTTTAGAGTTTACTATAATTGAATTGATCGATTATATAGATCATTTCTGGATATTCATTATATGTGATTGCATGTACTTTGTGAATCCATAGTAGTACGTTCTGTACACATCTATTATATTGTACTAAAATTGGAATCAAAATATTTGAACAAATTTCTCAAAAGATGTGTACTATATACAAGGGAAAATTAGAACTCAAATTCTAATATTTCAAGAATTTTGGAAATGATTACCTAACCTCTCACTTATTATACATTATGAGATTAGATTAGTGAGTTAGGAGAAGGGTTAGATTGATCTTTGGAAAGTCAAACTTTGTTGAAAAAACCATCATTCCCCTATTAAAATTCAACATTGGGTTTAGAAAAATGTAGAAAAAAGAAAAGAAAAGAAAACATAAAAGTAAAATTGATAGCCTCTTGCCATCCCCTAAAGAAATTGTCAAGGACCACACCACCACCGTCCATCGCCGCCTTTGATGCATTGTTCATCATGTTCTTTGTTGTCATTAACATTAACACAATTTCGGCTTGCCTCCTCCACGACCTTGCTCTACCAAATAAAATCTCCAAACCCAAATCTTGAACAACAAACAGGATTCAAAATGTTAATCACGAGTTTGTGGTTCAAAATAAAAATAGTGAGTGAGACAATTTTGCAATATCATAATTCTGTAACCCGTAGATGATGGTAAGGGTGTCAACGAGTCGAGTCGAGTCGGCCTGTGAGCCTTGACTTTCGGCTCGGGCTCGATTCAGGCTTTTTTAAGACGAGCTTTTTTTGGCCCGAGTCGAGGAAAAGCTCGGGCAACTTTATATGCTGCATTTACCGGCAGCTTCATAGCTAAGAGATACTCCCCTTAGAGCTCGTTTGAGCCAAATTATTTGTAAAATGAGAATGAAAAATAGAGTTGTTATGGGCCCCACACAAGATATAGAAATTCAAAAATGGTAGCTTGATGTAATGGATAACGGTCATATTTTTCATTTTAATGAAGTGAAAATGGAGCTCAAACAGTGCCTTAATAAGGTTCATTGTTTAATATGAAACTTCAAATAATAATATTTTGGATGCTTCAACATGTTACAATATATCAACTAAATTGGACCGATAATCCTATTTAGTCTTCCTCACCTAACTCGTGACCACAAGAAAAATAATTTTTAGTGTGTCATTTACTCCATTGAAACCCTATTGTTTATATGAATGCTGGACTATTTACGATTAATAAGTTGTTTGATGTGACTAAAATATCTAGCTTGAACATTTGTAAAAATTCAAATTCGGTTGTCTTGCCATCTTTGTCAATAGCTAGGCAAGGACTTAAGTTGTGCAAAACGTGTTTCATTAGACCTGCAACATTTTCTCGATCAAGATGAGGTAGATTGGTGTTCAAGGCCACTTGTTAGCCCGAATACAAGCCGTGGTGCTTGCTAGCCATTGTCACTGAACCGCTTAACCTGAGCTAAGGGAGCCTACACTTAACGAGAAAGCCACCTTGCCAGATCGTGTTAAATTAACATCAGTAGGTGAATTATCAATTATCAACATATTTTAATTAATTATTTCTATTATTGTGGGCCATTTCTGATACAGTGAGAAGATAAGTTTGGGTCTATAATGTGGGTGATCCCTATTTCCTACTGATGTTAATTCTGGGGCTATTGTGTATTGACATAATATTATTTATCGCCATACTAGTTTAGGTGATATTCAAGCGTTAGTTATTGAAAAGTCTTGATTCTTTATTAAGGCATGTTGGATCATGAGCCTCGAGCTGGAAATTTGGACATGACACAACTCAAAACTCATAATTTTACACTTCCATTACATACCTTGTTTAATTAGTAAACAAACAACATTGTTTGCTACACGTTAACAGTTTTTGCTTGTTTAGAGTTCAATATAATTTAGATTAATGCTGGCTGTACAAGCCAACTTTCACGAGGTTTGTATAGGCCAGCATTAATGTTTGGAGGGAGGGAGCGTGGGTGGGTGGACGTGGGTGATTATTTAAAAAAAAATAAAAAATCACCCACCCACAAAAATGTGTGTGGCCTATACTGGCCATGTTTTACAGGACTTGTACAGCCAGCATATCCCCATAATTTAATTTACCGATTATACAAATGTTTTTCGGATATTCATTACATGTGATTGCATGTACTTTGTGAATCCTTAGTAGTACGTTCTGTACTCCACATTTATTATATTGTACTAATTGGAATCAAAATATTTGTACAAATTTCTCAAAAGATGT